GCCGAAAAAAGCAGATAAAAACCACGTTCATTATATAACTTCAGACGAACAGATTATAACGGACTACCATGGATATTTAACACGAAGTGATGAAGCGAAGACAAAAAATGTTAATGAAAGAAGATATAAATACATTCGTGCTAAAGGTTATGACATAAGCTGTACTGTACAGTATGATGTAGTTAAAGCACCAGAAGCATTTGGTTATACCGGTGAAATTTATGCCTCTACTTTCAATGTTAACGGTGTATTAGTTGAACCAAGATTTATGTTAAGAGTTAAGGCAAAAATAACGTTTGAAGATGCTATTAAAAGTAAAGCTGACAAAGATGAACTTGACGCAATGAACAAAGTTTTGAAATCTCATAAACACAATATCTCCGATATAAATGAACTTCAAACTTCTTTAGACAGTAAAGCCGACAAGAACCATACACATAACTCCTTCACTACTGTTAGAGCAGACGACATAATATTGAACTTTGATTTGGGTTCAAGTGCACCATTAGAAAATCCAAGTACAAGCGTAAAAGATACTCTTAACAATTTAGATAAGAGTTGCAGGAATACCGAAGATCATGCCAGAAACTTTGAAGCACATGAACTACCAGCAATGTTAGATAAGAAAGCAGATAAGAACCATACACATGATTTCTTCACAACTGTTGGTATAGAAAGTATTGAAGGAACGGTTGAAGGAACTGGTGGGGATGCATTATATTGGAAACCTCCTAACTTTCCACAAGGTTTAACATCGGAGGAAAACATAACGACGATGAAATACATTAGATGTAAAGATGTTTATGTCATGGAGGATGAAAATAATGTTAAATTCACTGCTCAAGATTTATATGATAAGAAAGCTGACAAGAACCATACACATAAATCCTTCACTACTGTTAGAGCAGACGACATAATATTGAACTTTGACCTTGGTTCAAGTGCACCATTAGAAAATCCAAGTACAAGCGTAAAAGATACTCTTAACAATTTAGATAAGAGTTGCAGGAATACCGAAGATCATGCCAGAAACTTTGAAGCATATGAACTACCAGCAATGTTAGATAAGAAAGCTGACAAAACTTATGTGGATGCAGAACTAACAAAGAAATTTTCGAAACCAGATACAATGACATTTACAACAGAAATTATAAATGGTGAACCAGCAACTCCATTTGAATTTGTTAGAGGTCTTCAACCAGATACTTTTGAATTTTTCTTGGATAATTCTATTGAACTAACATTACATTATAAAAGTGGAACAAATGCAACATTTCATCCGGGAGATACATTCCAAATGGTATTTAATGACATAAGTTCTTTAGAATATGTTTATAGAGTTATGAGCATATATGATTTAATATATCCTATAGGAGCTGTTTATACGTCTATGAATCCAATAAATCCAAACACTTTATTTGGTGGTAGATGGTATGAAATAGTTGACAGTTTTCCATTCTACACTAATACGCAGTCAATGAAGATGGGAGGTTCAAAGAAAATAGGTATTGAAAACCTTCCTTCACATATGCATAGGTTCAGTGGAAGAACATCTGTGGAAGGAAACCATTCACATTCAATAACAAAAAGAGGTTATATAAATCTTGCAGCGGGTTCGATAGACAGGGAATGAAGATATGATATCACAACTGACCCCAAAGATGTTAGCACAGGTATTTTCTGTGGAACTGCAGGAAATCATACACATGTTGTAGCTGGTATTACAGACCCAGCAGGTAATGGAAAAGATTATATGCCTCCTTATATAACAATGCACGCTTGGATACGAGTTGGTTAAAATCTTTAACTTTACATAAATGAGCTTGAAAGAAGTATTCGAACAACATCCATGGAGGTCATTTAAGAAGTTCAATGAAGCTGCAAAGAGTTGGGGATTTACTAACAGAGCTGAAGTGAAAAGGTTCTTTGACAAAAATGTTGTACATCAAACAAAAATAAACCTTACGACTACTTTTTACCAATTTACTCCAACACTCCTGACGCATACCAATTTGACACTCTCATTCAAAGCAGAAAAGGAGGACATAAACCATTCCTCATCTTCATAAATGTTAACACTCGTAAAGCTATGCGTATATAATGAGAATTAAAGGAACTCATGAAGTGTTAAGAGTTTTACAAAAGTTTGTAGCAGAACATAGCCCAAGTACTTTAACATCAGACCAAGACAGTGCATACCTCAGCAACGAAATCACAGAATTTCTCATTAAGCATAACATAACTCACTACACTACTGAAGACCATAACCATAACATACTCGCATCGGTATCATAACCGCTTCATAAGACTCTCAGAGATTTAAATCAAGAGCGAGACTTTACCGAAGAAACAATGAAACATTTCATCGAAGTATATAATTCCTCAACACATTCTACAACAGGACATACACCAAATTCAATGACACAACAACAAGAAGAAAAGTATATACAAAAGAAACGAAGCCAAACACAAAATATCAGAAATTCAACACAATTTACTCTCATTCCTGGTACAAAAGTTCGTGTAGTTCTTGACGACAAACCGTTGACAAAGAAACGTTTAAGGTTAAGTCGAAATTATTATATCGTAGACTCTACGCAAGGTAATGGATATCTTATAAAAGCTGCCGACGACTCTATTGCGTTTTACCCTCGACATAAATTAGTCGAAAGTAGTAATGGCAAACTTGCTGAAACCATTGACGAAGCAAAGCGAGGAGTGGTTATTGAAATACTTGACTACAACATAAACGATGACACTTATAAAGTAAGATATGAAGGAGGCGTTGAAGATGTTATACCATCTAAGAACTTGAGAGAATCTAAACCAACTCATCTGGGACCATTAGAGCGGGAGTACTGGAAAGATAAAAACATGCCAGAAAGAATAAGAAAATTCTTCTAAACTTTTTCGTTGGATGTAAATCAGACATGAATGAGAACAGTCATGTATTATTAATGGTACCATTTATTTTTGTCATAAATTTACACCAAAAATAATGTTTATGTTAGAATGTTAGATCTAACACGTTTTCTAACCACTTTTCTAACATGGTCTAAAACTCTCGAAAATCATGAATTTTTGACATTTCCTTATGAAAGAAAAATAACGCTAATTTTTTTCTAAGAAAAATTTTTATCTTGTATGTAAAGATATGATTTCAACAATCGGCACAACAACAATTCAAGCCGCGAACGGCAGGACTCTGTCCACAACAGCACCAAACTCGTTAGTCATGAATCCAACATCTATGTTGGTAGAGATGAAAAACTTCATTCCTTCTTCATATACTTTCGAAACAAAAATCCAGAAGATAAAGCAAGAACTTTTAACATGTAATTTAGACTGTAGTGCGAAAGATGAAGAAAATGAACAGTATCTTTATGACATGCAGGATATTATTGACCATTTACCCAAATTGCCTGAAATCCAACAACAAAAATCACTATTCCTGAATTCGACGAAATTAGAAGTCAAAGCAACTGACTCAGTAGAAATAAAGAAGTTCATACGTAAAGTAAACTATGAGTTTCTAGGATATCATTGCAACCATAAAGTTATGGACAAAGATTGCGACATGGTATATAAGAAACATCTCTGACATATATAAATCTGGGGAGTTTAAGACATACGACAACTTTGTTTCATTAGTTGCTGAATGTGTATGGCAGATAAGAGATAAAGATAAAGATGTAAATATGGAATGGACAATAAACGCAACAACTTTTGAGTTAAAGAAAACCATTGACGCCTTAGTTGTTTCTAGCAGGTCAAATTTCAATGTATAACGCAAAAATGAATCCGCAATGTTCAAAATGTAAAGCAGCAATGAGGAATATAACTACTCGTCAAAGATATAGAACGTATGAGAAACGACTATGCTGACTTAAAGAAAGAAGTAGAGAAACCAGCAGAAGATAAAATGGACATGTTAGCATTTCTGAACAAAAAACTATCCAACTGCTGACGATTTCCTATTATCTGATGTCAAGAAGAAATATAAAGAAACCTTCGGCATAGTTAAAATTTTTGATATCCTTCGTGAAGAAATAGAAGCTACAAAACTGTTTAAAGTCATGAACCATCGCAACATATACCATGTAAAACGCTTGTAAATAGTTTTCTTCGATGTTAGAAAAGTGGTTAGAAAACGTGTTAGATCTAACATGCTAACATAAACATTATTTTTTCTTTCATAAGGAAATTCACGAAAATTCATGAGTTTTGACATTTCCTTAAGATAGAAAAATAACGCTAATTTTTTTCTAAGAAAAATTTTTATCTTGTATGTAAAGACAGTAATGTCAAACATTGAGTTTGAAACAGTAAGAAAGATTGACAATGACACCAAAGTGGTTAGAATTGGTGATTTAAACGTAAGATACTGTAAGAAATACAACAAATATTCTTTGTCAGACATTATAACACCTTCTGGAAAGAAAACAAAGGACTGGGTTAGAATTGCTTCTACTCAGAAAATTTTGACAAGAAATCCTGAGCTCATGATATCGGTAAGATTCTATGGAACTACAGCATATCTCATTGACAAAAGTCTTATACCAATAATTCTTCTGTGGATTGACCCTGTTGTTGGATATAACTTCATAACTTATGGTTCATTCGATACGGAACGTTGCAGTGAAGGCTTACTTTACATCGTTCAGAACCGAAGGACTTCAATACAAAGAGATATAAGATAGGAAGAACATATAATATAACTCAAAGATATGACAGTACAGTCAATAGAGTCAAGGTTGTGTTCGTTAATGATATGAGAGCTGCAGAAACAGAACTACTTGAAAAGTTTGAGAAAATGTATGGTGCTCCCATAAAAGGTAAAGAAACGTTTGAAGTAGATGAGATAGATAAAGCTATAAAATTATTTGACGAAGTTGCTGAAAAATACATGTAAAGCGTTTATTTTTGGTCTTTTGTGAAAGTCAGAAAATAACGCTAATTTTTTTCTAAGAAAAATTTTTATCTTGTATGTAAGAACAGCAATGTCAACATCAGAGAACACAACAACAGTTATAGTTCATGAAGCCATTAATGAAGAATACGAATACATACAGTATAACAAACAATTGAGACTCATTCGTTCAGTCAAAGACGACATGTACCAAATGCAAAGTATTTTGACAGCATGTTTTGCACCAGATACTAAGAAACCAAATGAATGGTTTGAATTAAATAGCACTCATGAACTCCTCAGTGAGTTTGAACATGTAGAACTTAAAAAGATGTACCAAGACAGACAAAACTTACCATCACATCTAAAAGGTATATATGTTCATAAGTTCCTAGTTAGTTCAATAGCAATGTGGGCTTCACCTCGTTATGCAATCTACATACTTATGCTACTTGACGAACTTTGTACAAAGCAGAGAGAAGATATGATGAAAGAAGACAAAAGCATACAGAAAAGAATACCACGTTCAGTACCAAAAGGAAAGGAAAAAAGCTATAAGTATATGATTTACGCTGAAGAGATGGAGAAAGAAGAAGATAGAGATATGGTTATGTTGCATTTAGTCAGAAGAAACAACAAGAGCTTTTATGACCTTGCTAAGATTTACAAATCTGACAGAAACTGGTTCTATCGTGAAAACTTACCGATTTCAATGACACCGAATGAGCAAATAAAAGAAATTGTCAAAAATACTCTTCCTCAAACACACTATGATATGAAAGGTTGTACAATACTTACATTCAAAGAAGACTTACCATTACTGAAGGAAAAAATAACAGAATATTTCGATAACTTCAAAGAGGAAGAATGAAGTCACGACAACATTAACGAAGAAGTCACGACAACATTAACGAAGAGAAAACAGGTGAAAAAACGGGTGACATCTCACCTCTTCACCAAAAATATATTTTTGGTTAAATAGCTTCAGGGTCAATTTCTTCAACCATTTCACTTCCTTCGTCAATGTCAATAGAAGCTTCTTCAACCTTTGGTAAGAACTTTTGTATAACATCTTTGTTCGTTATTGTTTTCAGAGATGAAGAATAATATTTCACATTTGTTTCACCCTTCTTATATTCTTTCTGTTCGGAAAGATTCATAGCAATACTGAAGAAGTCAATGTTGGAGTTCTTTATAATAGTATAATGAGTATCTTTGACATTCACGAAGAAACCCTTTTGTTTCAAAACTACTGCTAACTCTTGTGAAGTATAACGTTTGCGGTCAATGACAATAGCTAATGGTCTGACATACTGACCAAACTTAGATTCTTTCACAAACTTCTTGTTAAAGATAACATTGACGTTTGAAGCATTATTGAACTCATTCTTGATGGCAGTAGCGAGAGCATTGTATGAAAAGAACTTGCAATCTTGCATGTGTTTCATTAAAATAAAAATATTAAATTATTTTGAAAAATAACTTAAAAAAATGTAATCTAATTTTTTCAAAAAATATTTTTTATCCGATAGAAAAGATGACAGAAAAATTAACTTTTTACATAGCGCCAGACCCTTCTGCCCACATCCTTTTAAGCCACAATATATAGACATAGAACTAAATAGAGAAAGCGAAATTCTACAAACAGAAGAAAGCGAAATTCCACAAACATATAGAGACCTAGATAACGAAAATGGATATGCGCTATTCTGGTTAGATTGTCCTTATAAAATGTATGAAAAAAAGGCTTTATATGAAGAATATAGAAAATATTGTCATGAAAACGATATAAGACCAAGCTCTAGAGAAAAATTCTATGCTGGTATAAAACATCTTTTCGAAGTTCGGAATGGCAAATATAGAAAGAAATAATTTTTCTAAGTTTATTTTTTCAAAAATATTTTTTTATTTCCTACTAAAGATGTATCGGAAGTTGTCTAAGTTAGAACACTCGGAAATAAAACAACTTCTTACAGAAGCTAATATAGATGTTGCAAAACATTACGCGACAAACAAAAAAGCACTCGCTGACTTCATTAAAGACTATAATGGTGCAATAAGTTATGATAGAATTCATGAGTTCATAAAGCCGCAACGCGGCGAGGACGAAGTCCATGCAAGAGCATTTCCTTTAAATGACATTGCTATTGACTTATATCATAGACGTTCAGTACCTCATGAAGTAAGAAGAGAAATGTTTGACATAACAAATGCAAACGTTGGTGAAACAAGAAGAAAGACAGTCAAGTTGGAGACAGACGTGAAGAAAGCAACTAAAAAGAAACCAAGGAAGAGAGTTATAAAGTAATGAATTCACAAGGTTAGAAAACGTGTTAGAAAACGTGTTAGATCTAACATTCTAACATAAACATTATTTTTGTGCTATGTTTTCATACGTGTGAGGGTGGTGATATCATTAATTTTTATTTTATTTTTTTATTTACTGAAAATTTTTATTTGGATGTAAATGACGAAAACTATTGAGATAACAAACTACAACGGTCATGAGTTCAAGAATTTGTTCTTCGTTCCTCGTGAAAATACATTCTATCAGATACGAGGGAGAAAGGGTAAAGTTAGTTTGAGCGTTTATGAAGGAATGAAGAATGGAAAGTTTATATACAAGCATACGATACAAACGGTAAACGTGTTTCATTAGCTTTGTCAAAACTTACTAACATTTGTTTTGACAGTGACTTTGACTCTGACGATTGGAGCGACAGCAGCGATACTGAAGAATATGAACTATTGTGTGAAGCACAGCAATGGGAAGAGTTGCAATACTTTTGTAAGGTGAGAACGTTTATTTTTACAGTAGTGAGTTCGTTAGTGAAAACATTAGTGAATTCGTTAGTGAAGTCGTTAGTGAGGTGAAGTGGTTGGTGGGTTTATAAATATTTAAGGTTAAGTTGGTGTTTGTGTTTGTGTTGTAAAATATACGTTAACGGTTTTGTAAAGTGTCAAATTCACAAGTATTGCGTATGGAGGAACGCAATGCCTCCATACACGAGACTTGTATACTAACTGTAATCGGAAAAGATGTCGATTGCAGCAAACTGTGCAAATTCAATCATGAGATTTGAAAAAAAATGGACGATGTATTCTCCAAGAGGTATCAAATTAACCCTATTAAATTTCTCAAGTGAACTCAAATGATCAAATCTCTTCAAGTACATCTTGTAAAATTAGTGAGTTCTCTTTCTAATATATTGAGGTCATTTCTTAATTTTTTCAGATCTTCAATTGTAAATCGTCTATTTCCATGAATAAAATCATTAAGCGCCTGCGAGAAGCAATGTTATTTGCCAGCCTTTTATGGAATAAATCCTATAATATCTACAGTAAGATCACCTTCATTCTTGTAAAAATAAATTATGTTGAGTATAATTCAAGTAATCATTATAATAAGATGTAACTATTTCTGTTAATGTTTGTAATTTCTGGATTAGAAAACAAATATATGGGAAATATTTCTGACGGGTTGATTAAATCTTTGAAGGTATTGAAATTGGTCCTGCAAACGTAAGTTGTAGTCATAGATTGTTCTATGAACATTATACAAGTTAGTATTTGTAAACATTAAATTCGTAAAGTTTAACATTATTTGATTGAATACAGCGTTTTCATTAGCAATAGATTGAAGAATTCCTTGATATCGGCTCTGGTTTTTAAGAATAAGATTTGATATATCATTCAAAGAAGTTGATAAATGATTATTGATTTGAGTCAGTTGGCTCATTATTGTAGATGGTTTAATGCTAATATCTGACGAATTATTCCCAATTATCAGTTCTCCATTAGCGATTTGGCTATAGGAAAGTTGCTCCATTAGAATTTCATTGTGAACATTATGACCAATACAAATCGAATAAGTTAGTTTAATTCTTTCAAGATGTGGCCAAGGACAAATTCTATATGTTCTTGCCAAGTCTTCAATGAATTCATTTGAAATAGGATCTGAATCATTAAATTCCTCAACTAGCTTTGGAATCACGTAATAATAAATATATATTTGTACAAAATAAACAAGAAGTTCGATAAATAAAGTAACACCATCAATAACAATATAAATAACGCATTCTGATTTATCTGTTGTAACTTTTGCAACACTCAGAATTTTATCAGTAATGTTTTCATCGTAAGGAAGTGTTTCATTGTTATAGATTTTCTCAGCTGACTCAGGCAAAGCTACAAAACAAATAATAATTATGAGAAAGGTAAAAAAGTGAATTGGAACAAAATATATATCTTGGATATCATTGATTGATTTTGGGCGCAGCGTGAGACTATCTTTTGTGAGACTGTTATAGGAGGTGAACTTGTATTCTGCATTTGAATTTAAAGAAATTTTGGATTTAGAAGTTACACCTGAAAGTGGAATGCATGCAAAATATTGATTGATTTGCGCTGATATTTTCGTCAATTCGCTTTTGTCGGGGAACCTTTCTTCATTGATATGCCAAAAAATATCAGCAATTTTTTCATGATCAAGTTGATTAGTTATATGACGTGGCATGCCGTTTTGATATTCTTGTAATGTATCAATAATCGTTTGTAAATACTCTAAAAGTGTTTTTTTTTCGTTCTTGATTTCTTGATTAAAATTATAACTATGATAACAAACATTGTAATGAAATATAAAAATTGTAAAATCGTAATAGATAATTTAACTCTAAAATATGAATCAAAATCAGAAGGTTTTTTAATACCATTTGGAAGAGTTAGATTTGTGACGTTAAGTTGGTCCGACATTGGGTTCTTCGGATTTTCTTGCCATTTAAAGTCTCCATATAAAAGGACAACTTGGATAGCAAGTAGAATGATGGAAAAAATTTTTACAAAGTAATTATAGCGGTATATGTTTTCAAGAAAGTCTAATAAACGCCCAGCAACATATCGGCCCATTTATTGTTTCTTTATTTTTTGTAAAGATTGATAGCTTTACAATGAATACTGGAAATATTTTATAAAACTATCAATCTTTATCAAGAATTCCAAAATAGAGGAATTATTGAAAATCGTCCCACCTTTTCAATTTTTACACTATTATTAAAATATGTTATATATGAATTGACAAGCCAACAATCCAAAAATTGTCGAATGACAATATATTTGATTTGAGATATTTACAAAATTTAGCGGTGCTTTATTCAATATGATTTTATGATTGTGATTGAGAAAAATTTTGTTACGAATTTGAATAAATATAAATATACAGTTGTTTGGTAAAATCGATATTTGGAAAAACGACATAAAAATTTTTATTGAATTATATCACTTTACAAAACGATAAGAAAATTTTTATATCAATGTTTGATAGAGAAGGCTTTTTTACAATATCTCACCAGAGATGTTATAAGCAAATTACTTCAAGATGTAGTTATCTTGTTGATAATTCTGAAGAGTATGTAAATCATGTTATTGATCTTAGTGAAAAATTATATAATCTTGACCCTGATCTTATTCCAACAAAACTTTACTCATATTATGCTCAAGCACAAGACAAATGCTATACTTTTTTAAAATTTATAAAACCTCATTACATTTCTAAACAAGAATTTGAAGAAATTTACACTTATTTAGCAAATTCATCAGATCAAATGTATCAATATCTTGAAGGATTGAATCAAGCATATTCATACAAATTTACGTTTTTCAAGTTTATCTTACCATATATTTATTTCAGTAATCAAATCCAAAATTCATTACAAATGAAGATTGCTGATTATTATAATAATATTGACCACAATGCATGGGATTTCGTTGATACTGTTCATAAACTTATGAAATTTCTTGCTGAAAAAAGTAAACTTTACAAACAACGAGTTACTGAAAATGGATTAGATAACACCCTTAGCAATGATTTAATTCGATATGTTACAAACTTTCAGCCACTTGCATTAGGTAGTTTCTTAACTACAAAAGATGAATGGAAAAAGTGCCTTGAATTTGCTGTTTCAATTGAAGAACTAATTCACAAATATCCCACAAAAATTCCTGAAGTATTCCATACTACACGAAATCGCTCAACACACATTGATCCATGCATCTCTACATACAAAATTTTACATTGTTACAATGTTAATTCAATTGCTGAATTGAAACAGTTTTTAAAATTAGATTAAAAACTAATTTTTGTATAAATTGATTTATAATTTTCTATCAAGAAGTCAGAGTATAAGATATATCAGTGTATCTTAGTTAAATAGCATTGGATCTGTTTCCAAACCAATTGTAATATGTTAGACATGAATAAAAATCACATTTTTGAATAAGCAACCCTGGATAATTGAAAATGTTTGAACAAAAATTTATGTTATTCACCTATCGAAACGGTAAAAAGATAGAGTATGACGTATATATTCTACGACCTTGTTCATTCATAAAAATACTAATTCTATCATAGGGAAAAAGTACTATCAGGTGTTTTTTATTGAATAGTTGTAAACTAAGCTTGTGATCATTTAAATTTCGAACTACCGGATCTAAATTGTTTAATGTTTATTGAATAATATTCATCAACAAGAGGCATAATAATTGTAAATTTTCGTTGATTGTATTTCCGCTGAACCAACTTTTGACAAATTTTACAATGAACGACGAAGAACTTTCACCGAGAATTATCGCCGTTGGTGATTCTGGTGTAGGTAAAACTAGTTTAATTCATCGTATTAAGAGTGGCTCTTTCCTTGATCAGACGTTCCGACGATTGGAGCAGGAGTAAATCCAATAGATGTAGAAGTTGATGGAAAAGTTATTTCATGAAGATATTATTTAATTTAATTTTATGCTTCGAAATATTATTCTTGATTTAATACTATGATTCGTATTTTAGGTAAATATTCGGACCTTGAACCCAAGAAGAGGAACTTCCTCAAAAATCGGATACTGATTGTTGAAAAAAGACTATAAAGCATGTTCTTTTAAGTCTATGTTACTTATCTGTGATGCCATAACTGAACAGGCATCATAGAAGAACTCCCTCAACAATCAGATACTGATTGTTGAGGAAAGACTTAAAAGATTGCTCTTAGCATTCTTTGAAGTCTTTTGTTCCTCATCTTGGGCTCTATGTCTAAGCAAGAACCCAAACTGAGGAACAAAGTCGACAATCAGATACTGATTGTTAACAAAAAACTTCAGAGACCGTTCTTAACAGTCTTTGAAGTTTTCATACTATTTTCAGGTAGAGTATCTAAGCGAGTTCCCAAGAAGAGGAACTTTTAAAAAATTTCGACCTTGAATCGAGAATTTTATTGGTAAACTCTTATTATTTATTTTATAATATCATGTAAATCTATTAATTTGACTCAATGTAGTCTTCAAAATTATACAATTGCGAATTAATGACTCTAATTTTTTGTGAATCTTCTAAATATCTCGTTTTTCGAATTTCGTATCGTAGTCGACATCTTCATACAATATATTTTTCTGCTCTGATTTACATTTCCGTGTTTATGAATTTTTGTTCGAAATTTTTCGTATGCAATCTTGCATTAAAACTAAGTTTGTGATCTGCGACGATAGACCTCCTTTAATAATTTTTGCCGAATTTTTGGTGTCGATCTCGCGTCGAAATGCGAGGTTTTGTCCGATCAAACTGCGAAAAATGGCCAAAATTTGAGAGATAATTACAGGCGATGCCGGAGATAATGACTTAATTGAGCAAATTCAAGCACGTACAACAGAGCAAATCAACCAAGTACACACAACAATGGCCGATTTACTTAACAACAGACTCGCTTCTCTACAAAAAGCTCTTGATATTGCGCTCATGCACACAACATCAGATAATGCACCAAAACTCAACGAAGTTTGGGCAGTTACATCTCAAAACAGAGCTGCTCTCGTCAATGCAATGACAGAACAATCACTTTTATCAAGAAGAGTCGATGTTTTGCAGCAATTAATTGATAATTTGCAGCAAAATCCATCAAATCCTGAATCTCCGAACCGTCCAATGCTTTCAAGCATCATGGCACATCAAACAGCAGCAACACGTGCAGGAATGTTGATTCCGTTAGACAACGACATTCGTGCAAAAGAACATCAAAAACTAGAAAAAACAGTTGACCATCTTGGCGGCCAAATCGATGCTGCTCTTCAAGATATCCTTCGAATCAAGAACGCCGTCAACAGGAATGAGAAAGATGTTAGAGATGTCGTACTCGCAATCATCGATGAATTCAAATTGATCAGAACAAACGCGAGTGGTTTAGAACATCTTCCTCCACTTAATTTGGCAACATGTGTCCCCAGTTTCTTCAATAATCCAAGCTTCACATTTGCACGTGTTGGTGGTGACGATGAATCACCAGATGAATCTGATAGATCTAGCTCTCTTCCAACAGGATCAGGCACATCAACACTTGAAAGAATGAGACTTGGAAGAAGAGGAAGATACAGAGAAGACAGCGAAAACGAAGACATGATCAGTGGCGAAATTTCAGAAGATGACATTGGCATAAAGAAGAAACAGTCAACAACGTTCTTCAAGACTAAAAAGATCTCTGGATTGATGCATATAATTTCTCGACAGCCTAACTATAACTCTCCACCTCCAAAGCTTGATATTGATGACAAGAAATCAGTGAAAAACGATGACAAAAAATCAGTTAAAAGTGAAAGTGAAAATGATAACATTTCAACACAAGTTTCAGGTAATATTTTGTATGTTGGGAATACGTCTAAATCGCAGCCAGAGCAGACAGTTGTCCATGTAATTGAAAAGGAAACATCGGAACAGTTGAAAGGACAAATGGAACTTTTCATCAAAAACAAAAATGAACTTATGTCAGCTGTTGAAAGAAAAGTTGATCGCGATTTTGTTGAGAAAGTATTTAACAAGTTCAGAGTTATCATCAACGGATTGAATGAACGAGTGAAAGAGCTTGCATCGTCTATGGATAAATTCGCCACTCAAAAGGACGTTCAGACAGTTGCCGAAGTTTTGTCACAGACAGCAGCGATGGTCGAAAAATCATCTACAAAACAAGGCAAACTTCCTGTTTCTAACTTCGGCGGAAGTGGAGATTTCGTCTATGGTGATGATGGTTCTGCATTTGTTAAAGAAACTAAGAAAGAATCATCTGAATTACCTCTTCTTCAGAAATCAAATAACAACAGATAATTATTATTGTTTTTGTTTTTATTATTTATATTTCTATGTATTTTTATTGTAAAAAGTTTTTTTATATTTCTGAAGAATACTATCTTGTAGTATTCTATTCTTATCTTCTATTGTTTTAATTGATTGAAACTATAAATTGAAATCATGTTTTCAACAAGAGAAATGTCAGTTTTTTGTTAAACACATTTGATTATTCAGATATAAGAGTTAAAGTGTCCAAATGAGAAATTTTCGAAAAAGTGACATCGCTGTAGGCGATGTCACTTTTTCTTATGCTTGAACCTCACCTTATATTTCAATATAATTAAATATTAGAAAACGAATTCTCATTTCAAATTCTAGACCTTTTTAAAAATAATGTAAACTAAACAAAAATTCTATGATAAAAAAATACCCATCAGATGTCCATTTTTTATTATTTTTTTTAATACCCAGAACAATTTGAAGTGATTAGTATTAAAATATATATATATATCATTTAACTTAACGATAAAATAAATCATCTTAATGAGGAAGGTGTGGAAACACCGTCTTTCTCCTCATTGATGAAAGATTTTGGACAGTGCTTTTCCAAGGAGAAACGGCAATTTTGGAACATCTATAAAAGAAACACTTGAATCTCCTACTAAAGATTGCAAAATATGCGTTAGAAAATAGGATATACAACTGCAGAAAAGAAACAGAGTACATTTATTGTTTTAACAAACAAAAGAATAATTTCATCAATCAATGAATTAGATGATCAAAATTTCGATCAAAAACACGAATCATCACTTTAGTTCGGGAAATAAAGTAGTTAGTATACAAGTCTCGTGTATGGAGGCACTGCGTTCCTCCATACGCAATACTTGTGAATTTGACACTTTACAAAACCGTTAACGTATATTTTACAACACAAACACAAACACCAACTTAACCTTAAATATTTATAAAGCCACAAACCACTTCACTAATGTTTTTACAAACGACTTCACTAACGTTTTCACCAACCACTTCACTAACGTTTTCACCAACCACTTCACTAACGTTTTTACAAACCACTTCACTAATGTTTTTACAAACGACTTCACTAACGTTTTTACAAACCACTTCACTAATGTTTTTACAAACGACTTCACTAACGTTTTCACAAACGACTTCACTAACGTTTTTACAAACGACTTCACTAACGTTTTTACAAACGACTTCACTAACGTTTTCACAAACGACTTCACTACTGTAAAAATAAACGTTCTCACTTACAAAAGTATTGCAACTCTTCCCATTGCTGTGCTTCACACAATAGTTCATATTCTTCAGTATCGCTGCTGTCGCTCCAATCGTCAGAGTCAAAGTCACTGTCAAAATAAATGTTAGTAAGTTTTGACAAAGCTAATGAAACACGCTTACCGTTTGTATCGTATGCTTGTATAAACTTTCCATTCTTCATTCCTTCATAAACGCTCAAACTAACTTTACCCTTTCTCCTCGTATCTGATAGAATGTATTTTCACGAGGAACGAAGAACAAATTCTTGAACTCATGACCGTTGTAGTTTGTTATCTCAATAGTTTTCGTCATTTATATAAAAATAAAATAAAAAATAAACTTAAAAATAAATGATATCACCACCCTCACGCGTATGAAAACATAGCACAAAAATAAATTTAGGTGAAGTGGTGAAATCTCACCTCTTTTTTCACCTGTTTTTTTCACCCTGTTGAATTCATTGCTTTATAACTCTCTTCCTTGGTTTCTTTTTAGTTGCTTTCTTCACGTCTGTCTCCAACTTGACTGTCTTTCTTCTTCGGCCGTAATGATACCAGTTACTTCCACCAGTCAATGGGTCAAATGGTCTTTCGTAAGGGTTTCCATACATTCCATAGGGACCATACGGAAGAACTACTGGTGGAGAAGAAACATTTTCTTTAGTTCCATCGACTCTATTTAAATGCATTGTTTCACCTTTCATCTGGTCATTAAAGTCTTTTGCGTGTTTTGCAAACTCATCGTCCTTTCCTAAAGCATTTTCTGACTCAGTCGCAACCAAATTGGATGCTTTATTTATGAGCCCCATTTTATTTAATCTTAACTTCTTTGCAACCCAGCCTCCAATCTTTCCTTTATTTGCATCTAATGTCTTTGAAACCCTTCCTCCACTCATTTTATTTACTGCGTCATAAGCTCCAAGTGCTTTTGCTCCAAATGCTAATGCTTTTGTTCCCATTGCGCCTAAAGCTGCCCAAGCTACCATTTACCCCATATTAAAATCATCTCTCTTCAATATTATCTCATAAAAGTTCTCGTTACTGGAGAAAGTCAATGAAACATAAGCGTTCTCACGGGCTTCGCCCTCACTGCTTTGCGGTCTATCTAACTTATTTCTTATATCATCTATACGCTTCAAAATGTCTGAACAATTGCTAACATCTTCTACAACAGTTATTTCATCATGAATGACCTTCAAGAACAAGCTCATTTAATATGCTATTAAAATCATCTCAATAATGAGTCCATCCTTTCCATCTTTAGGTAGCACAACATCTTTCATTGAAGAAGGTTCGACAAGTCTTATGTTAAACTTACTGACAAAGTTTGTTATACTATAATGCTTTGGCGGCGAATACATGTAGTTTGAAAGACATAATATAGATTCTTCAGCAAATTCACTTATACTGGATTTTATAACAATGTTCTCACGAGACCAAATACCACCAATTGACAATCTTGTAAGCAATCCTGCTGAACCTTCTACTGTAAATGTCGATGGTAACATTCCACGAAGGTCATCTATTGACATCGTTGAGTCACTGTATTTAAATATTTTCTTAAAGCAATCGTCATTATCTAACCATGCAATAGCTTTGAAGTTTTCATTCGAATATACATCTGCTTCATTAAATGTAAAACCTGACTTCTTTGCAGAGATGACTTTAAAATCTATTGAGTTTGTTTCAAAATTATATGCTATGGTAACTTCTGAAGGTAATGGATGCCCTTCCGCAGTCAGTTGTTCTCTCACTACCGTTTGAAGCTTTGTATTAAAAACTTTCATGTCATCTCCTGTATCTAAGTTCACATACACAGCAACAGGGAAACTATCTTGCTTCTTTGTTTCATCATTATATCTCAAAACATTAAAGTTCTTCAATAATATTGTTCTTCCTGCTGGAATACTTCGAACCTGTCTGATTTCAATAGCTTTCTCACCTCCTACATACTCTACCCAGTGTCTTGGATATTCATAAGTATACTGACTTTCTTGAATTTTGGTAGGTTTCATCATAACATGTTCATAGTATATCTTTATACTCTTGTCAGTTAGACTCGGTGCTATGTTCTGAATATTTCTGACTTGCATTTTTAATGGAGATAAAATGAAGCATTTAATACATGACGTAGATGAAGACATGAATGAAACTACAGACAAACTTAACTCTTCTCTCATTCTTCCTTTCAGCAAGGACTATGAGTTCTGTTCAAATGGTGTTTATTTCTATTGTGGAAAGATGGGTTCAGGTAAGACATTTAACCTCATTCGTCATATACTCATAACAGAGCGTTTAGGAAACGACTCTTACTATGACCAAATCATTATATCAGCAACTTCAGACTCTATGGATTCAACAGCGAAAACATTCATGAGTAAAGTTCAAGCATCTGTCGTTAAAGTTCCAGATAGCGAACTCATTGAATTTCTTCAACGTTACATTCGACGTAAGAGAAAATATTATGCTATTGTAGAGTTCATACAGTCAGGAATGCAAAAGACTTCAGAAGAGATGGAAAGAATTATTGACAAACACCACTTACGTCAATACTCAGGAGTTTACGATATGAAACGACTTACAAACTACATTCTATCAAAACTTTCAAAATACCCCTTCAAAAAGTATCCTTCAAACACTCTGCTCGTTTGTGACGACTTCGCCGGAAAAGGTTTAGTGTCAAAGCCTGACTCACCATTAGCTAACATCATAACTAAAGTCAGACATTACCACTTAACTGTAGCAATACTTATGCAAACATGGCGTTTTCTTGCTTTAAACATAAAACGTCTCATAACTGACTTCGTTATCTTTCAAGGTTTCTCACGCTATGATATTGAACTCATTTGGAAACAGTCAGGTATAACATTACCTTTTGAAGAAATTTGGGAAGCATATAAGTCTCTCATCTCTCCTCGTTCATACCTTGAGATTCATATCATAACTAATACCATTAAAGTCAAAAATATTCCATGGGAACGACCAACATTGTTTTAAATCTTATGCTTTAATTGACTGATGGTAAACAAATTCCATGCATCTCTGTCGCCATTTCTGTTAATATTTTTGCTGTCATTCATATCATCCACTTCCCCATCCGTTAGCTTTTGAGGATATGCGTTAGAATAGCTGTTCTTAAATGAAGGCTTTTCACCTTTGAGAGCATAAACTCTATAACTTTCTGCATACTTTATGTTTGAACCTCCTGAGCCATCATTGACATAAATTTTTATAGGCTTCCACCCTTTGTTCATATTCCTGCTTCTTCCCTTAGCTCTTTTGTTCAGTAGTTCTACATCTTTATACACAGCTCCTGTCTCAGTGAATTCAACAATATTTTCATTCGTTAGCTTTACATTCAAACCCTTGTCGAGTATATTGTTCATTTCATACATATAAAAGGTTTTTATTCTATATGAAATGAGAAGCAAATCCATCTTAGCTGGTGCTGTTAATGTTCCAATTGAACCAACATCAAATGTTGACTCACGAACGACAAACAATATTGTCATAAAGAACTATAGTTCAGAGTGTTTGAAAGAAAAAGAACCAGAACTTAAGTCGGTGAATTTAAACACAGCTTCAAACGCTAACGCTACATCAGATGTTAAGTTAGAGTATCCACCACTGGACCAAATTCTTTCAAGAGAAGCCAACGACAACCCTTACATAAATGTTCAAACAAATCCTTCAGATAACGTAGACCATTACCTTCTTCAGTTATACCAAACAATTTTACTCAAAGACGATAAGAAGCTTTTGATAAATCTTATAAGTAAGAACCAAATAATTCTAACAAAGGAGGACCTTGAAAATGTTATATCACGAATAACAGGAAAGCAATGTGTCATTGACTATCTCGACCCTGAAATCGAATGCTGTGGTCAAACGCCAATATTCATGAAAATAGGTAACATCCGCATCATTGAAACACCAGGAACTACAGGAGTTGAGTTTAAGTATAAATATTCGAACGAATATACAAAACTTTCAACAGAATATAAACTTTGTTTGAAATATGTTTTAGTAAATTAAAGCAGTCAGGAGGGCTCTTTGAGCCCATCTTGGCGCTTTGCGCCGTCAGTCAAAAAAAATTTCAAGTTAGCAATTTGTAATATCTATCCAAAACTTCTTCAACAGTATCGAACTCATCTTCATAATGCAAACCTAATCTTATTGACTTGGTGCAGTTTTCACTAACACAATATTTTTCTGTTCTCTTGACTGACATAACTAATTCATTTGTTTCATCAAACAGCAACAACCAAAGTTCATGACCTAATACATGCAATTCAGACTTTATATTTTTAGCTCTGAGTTCTCTTGTAAGCTGTTGCATTTAATATTTTCTAAAAAGTCAACTTCAACAGTCATTCGCACTGGTGCCTTCAGTTCTACAGGCTCTCCTTGAAAGTCAACAAGTCTGAATTGCATGTCTTTCAAATTATGAGGACTAATGCGAACCCATTTACCTAAATGAGTTGCTATGACAGGAACGTTTGGAATGAACATTGAATTGACTGCATAACAGAAGGATTTATATTCTACTGAACCTTTACTATTAACTCCTGAAATGCCTGTGACATTAGCTATTTTAGACTCAATGTACAAACAATTACCATAACATACGTATGGAACAGATTTCATCTCAATCGTTTTGTCAACACTTTTCAAAGGAAATGTCATATGGTATGCTCCCAGAAGCAATTGAACTCTATGACTCATTCTTGGTATCTTAAACTCTTTCGCATAACTGAACTTCAAAACTCCTGCAATAAGTTTAACATTCATTAAGTTTTCTCCGTTATCCTTGTTTATTGTAGTACTTATGAGAGCATTTAACACTCCAGCTAATGTTTCCATCTTATATTCTACATTATTGTGAAATCTTATTTCGTGCTTCTTTCCATCTATTTCAAGCTCCATGAAATCTGTTTCATCTGTTATAACGAATGAAGCGATAGTATTGAAGTCAACCATTCTGAATGCAAGCGCCTCATTCTGTAGACCTAAGTTTGTTTGTAGCTTTACTGTCCCGTATTCGTTTGGGTCTGTACTTTGCAAATAGAACAACATTTTATTCTCATTAAAATATGAGTATAGCTGCATATGCGTATGAAGCTGACAGAGCTAAACGTTTATATTTTGGTCAATACTCTCTCACACTTACTGACAAATATATTGTTATCACTGATGGAAATACTGAAAAATACATAACATGGAAGGACTATGAAAAGTTTGACCCTATTTTAACTCCATGTACTATGCCATTTATAAAGGACGGTGAAATTATTGAAAAAGATAATACAACAGTATATAGGTCTGTTTATGAAGCATTAGAATATATGTTGAATCATAACCCAAAAAGATTCGATCCAAGCACTACACCATGTGCAATGCCTTTTATTAAGGACGGTGAAATCGTAAGAGTTCCGGATTCAACGGTTTACACAGCTGTTCAAAACAGTTTACAAAACATTTTAGCGAATATCTTTAATTCAGAAACTACAGAAATGAAATTACCATATATAACAGATGCTAAAGAAATTAAATCAAAAACGACAACATTATTTACGTCACTTAATGATTTAATGACTTATATCATTAATATTCCTGCACCAACTACAGGATTTGATCCAAACTCGACGGTTTGCAGTGTACCTTTCATAAATGACAGTTCATTAATTGCTTTAAGGGATTCGACAGTAAATGAATCATTAAAGGCGTCATTAATGAAAATCATTGATTTTAACTCATTCACGAATACATATAATTCATTCATTAATGTTTCATATGCTTCTAAAGAAGGTGAGCCAAAAACTATCGATAAAGCGGTGTATGAAATAAAAGCATCAACGACGAAATTGAATTCGTTAACTTTTGACGGTGATAGTTTCGTTAATGACATAACATCAGGGAAAACAATTTTAACGAAAGAATATTTAAAATCTCATGTTAGTGAGTTCGTTGAAATTGAAAAAGAAGGTGGAATTAAGTTCGATCCACTGAATTTCATTTTCAGCTTAGCGAATGCAGGAATTAATTTTGCTGAATGGACAACTATACAGAGTGAAATAAATGCAATATGGACGTTTTTGGGGTCAAAAGCGGGCATGGGTGAGCTTGTAAATGCTGCAAGAACATTAGGTGAAACAGGAAATTTTGTAGATGGTTTTAAAAGACTTGTTTCAAATGTTTTAACAAACACAAAGAAATTATTTAGATATACCGTACATAACGGACGGATTTTCGAACAGATAGCAACAAACCCTCCGGTTATGGCTGCGTTGATGATGGTTAGAGATATAAAACCACGTAACGACGGGAACGAAGAACATGAACAACAGGATACTGGTCGGGTTATTCGAGACATTAAAAACGTGTATCCTGAAGTTATTGATTTATTTAGAGGAGTTAATGATTCAATTTCAAAACATTCTATAACCCTCGATGAAGAGAATAAATTAACAGATTATATATTCGTCATTATTGCAGAATTAATGAAGAGAATAAATGAAAAAGGAATTGGTGATATCATTAATGTCAGCGATGTAATGATGAAAAGAAATTTTGACTCATTATTTACAAAACCGAAAACAGAATATAGTCTTTATGACGTAATTACCGAATTAATGAAAAAGATTAATGATAATAAGAGTTCTGGCGGAAGAGTTGAATTAGAAGTGAATGATGTTAATGAGAAATTAGCCGAAAAAGCAGACAAAAATGAGCTTTTAGCTCTGAGTGATAAAGTCAAGAACCACATTCATTATATAACTTCAGACGAACAGATTATAACGGACTACCATGGATATTTAACACGAAGTGATGAAGCGAAGACAAAAAATGTTAATGAAAGAAGATATAAATACATTCGTGCTAAAGGTTATGACATAAGCTGTACTGTACAGTATGATGTAGCTAAAGCACCAGAAGCATTTGGTTATACCGGTGAAATTTATGCCTCTACTTTCAATGTTAACGGTGTATTAGTTGAACCAAGATTTACTTTGAGAGTTAAGGCAAAAATAACGTTTGAAGATGCTATTAAAAGTAAAGCTGACAAAGTTGAACTCGAAGCAATGAACAAAGTTTTGAAATCTCATAAACACAACATCTCCGATATAAATGAACTTCAAGCTACATTAGACAGTAAAGCCTACAAGAACCATACACATGAATCCTTCACTACTGTTAGAGCAGACGACATAATATTGAACTATACCCTTGGTTCAAGTGCACCTTTAGAGAATCCAAGTACAAGCGTAAAAGATACACTAAACAATTTAGATAACAGATGTATGAACATTGAAGGTCATGCCAGAAACTTTGAAGCATACGAACTACCAGCAATGTTAGATAAGAAAGCAGACAAAACTTATGTAGATGAAAATTATACAAAGAAGTCGGAAGTAAATGCTGCGCTTAATGGAAAAGCCGACAAGAACCATACACATGAAGAATTTCAAACAATCAAGATTAAAGAAATTAAAGCATGCATCGAAATAGTAACAAAAACAGGAAGAAACGGTGCAACTGTACAAGAACAAAGAATTTATCCTCCTACTTTTCCTAATGGTTTAATAACAAACAATATAAATATTGTAGAAGGCAATAAAGCTATAAACGTTAAACATGAACTTCTAACAATGAAGGCCCAGATTCTTCAAACCATATATTCTGTTGGTTCTATTTATACGTCAATGAATTCAACAAATCCAGCAACAGTTCTGGGCTTTGGTACGTGGCAGCAGATTGTAGACAAATTCTTATACTGTGCTAACTCTTCAAAGCAAACAGGGGGTTCGAAGAAAATTACTGAAGCAAACTTACCTGCGCACACTCATACAGGAACGACAAACTTTTCTGGCGACCATAGCCACTCATTACGAGACCACCCATTATACAACTCAGAATATAAAGCTGGCAATGATGTTTTATCTCCATCTTATAACAATTCAGCAAAAAAGACTTTTCGACAAACTGAACCAGGAGGAAATCATGTCCATACTTTCACAACAAATCCAACAGGAAGTGGAGCAGACTATATGCCACCTTATATGACGGTTTATGCATGGGTTAGAACGGCCTGAAAGTCCTGAGCTCCAAAAGAGCGAACAGCATGAAATTACTAAATTTAACTTTACATAAATGAGCTTGAAAGAAGTATTCGAACAACATCCATGGAGGTCATTTAAGAAGTTCAATGAAGCTGCAAAGAGTTGGGGATTTACTAACAGAGCTGAAGTGAAAAGGTTCTTTGACAAAAATGTTGTACATCAAACAAAAATAAACCCTTACGACTACTTTTTACCAATTTACTCCAACACTCCTGACGCATACCAATTTGACACTCTCGTTCAGAGTAAGAAAGGAGGACATAAACCATTCCTCATCTTCATTAATGTTAACACTCGTAAAGCATATGCATATCCAATGAGGAATAAAGGAACTCGTGAAGTGTTAAGAGTTTTACAAAAGTTTGTAGCAGAACATAGCCCAAGTACTTTAACATCAGACCAAGACAGTGCATACCTCAGCAATGAAATCACAGATTTTCTCATTAAGCATAACATAACTCACTACACTACTGAAGACCATAACCATAACATACTCGGCATCATAAACCGCTTCATAAGAACGCTCAGAGATTTAAACCAAGAGCGAGACTTTACTGAAGAAACAATGAAACATTTTCTCGAAGTATATAATTCCTCAACACATTTTACAACAGGACATACACCAAATTCAATGACACAACAACAAGAAGAAAAGTATATACAAAAGAAACGAAGCCAAACACAAAATATCAGAAATTCAACACAATTTACCCTCATTCCTGGTACAAAAGTTCGTGTAGTTCTTGACGACAAACCGTTGACAAAGAAACGTTTAAGGTTAAGTAGAAACTATTATATCGTAGACTCTACGCAAGGTAATGGATATCTTATAAAAGCTGCTGACGACTCTATTGCGTTTTACCCTCGTCACAAATTAGTCGAAAGTAGTAATGGCAAACTTGCTGAAACCATTGACGAAGCAAAGCGAGGAGTGGTTATTGAAATACTTGGCTACAACATAAACGATGACACTTATAAAGTAAGATATGAAGGAGGCGTTGAAGATGTTATACCATCTAAGAACTTGAGAGAGTCAAAGCCAACACATCTGGGACCATTAGAGCGGGAGTACTGGAAAGACAAAAATAAGCCAGAAAGAATAAGAAAATTCTTCTAAACTTTTTCATTAGATGTAAATCAGACATGAATGAGAACAGTCATGTATTATTAATGGTACCATTTATTTTTGTCATAAATTTACACCAAAAATATATTTTAGGTGAAGAGGTGAGATCTCACCCGTTTTCTCACCTGTTTTCTCACCCTCACGAATTTTCATGAATTTCCTTAAGATAGAAAAAATAAAGTTAGTTTTAAAATTATTTATTTTTTTATTTTGTATAAAAGATATGATTTCAACAATCGGCACAACAACAATTCAAGCCACAACTACAGCACCAAACTCGTTAGTCATGAATCCTACGTCAATGTTGGTAGAGATGAAAAGCTTTATTCCTTCTTCATATATTTTTGAAACAGAAATCCAGAAGATAAAGCAAGAACTTTTAACAAGTAATTTAGACTATAGTGCGAAAGATGAAACAAATGAACAGTATCTTTATGAAATGCAGGACATTATTGACCATTTACCCAAATTGCCTGAAATCCAACAGCAAAAACTAACTATTCCTGAATTCGACGAAATAGAAGTGAAACCAACTGACTCAGTAGAAATAAAGAAATTCATACGTAAAGTAAATTATGAGTTTCTAGGATATCATTGCAACCATAAAGTTATGGACAAAGATTGCGACATGGTTTATAAAAATATTTCTGACATATATAAATCGGTGGAGTTTAAGACATACGATAACTTTGTTTCATTAGTTGCAAAATGTGTTTGGGAAATAAGAGATAAAGATAGAAGAGGTAAGGTATGGCATGAACAGTTAAAACCAACAGCTTTTGAGTTAAAGAAAACCATTGACGCCTTAGTTGTTCTAGCTGGTTTTATTTCAATGTATAACGCAAAAATGAATCCGCAATGTTCAAAATGTAAAGCAGCAATAAGAAAATATAACTACTCAATCAAAGAGATAGAAAGAATGCGAAACGACTATGCAGACTTAAAGAAAGAAGCAGAAAAGCCAGCAGAAGATAAAATGGATATGTTGACATTTCTGAACAAAAACTATCCAACTGCAGAAGATTTCCTTCTGTCTGACGTCAAGAAGAAATATAAAGAGACTTTCGGCATGATTAAAACATTCGATGTACTAAAAGAAGAAATTGAAGCTACGAAATTGTTTAGGATTTCAAATATACATCGTACAATTCATGTAAAACGCTTGTGAAAAAATAGGTGAAAAAAGAGGTGAAAAATTAGGTGAAAAAAAGGTGAGATCTCACCTCTTCACCTAAAAATTATTTTTATTGAATTCAGCACAAAAATAATGAATTTCATTAGTTAGAAAAATAACGCTAATTTTATTTTTATTTATTTTTTTATTTTGTATGTAAAGACAGTAATGACAAACATTGAGTTTGAAACAGTTAGAAAGATAGACAATGACACCAAAGTGGTTAGAATAGGTGATTTAAACGTAAGATACTCAAAGAAATACAACAAATATTCTTTGTCAGACATTATATCTCCATCTGGAAAGAAAACAAACGACTGGGTTAGAAATGCTTCAACTCAGAAAATTTTGACAAGAAATCCTGAGCTTATGATATCAGTAGCATTTCATGGAACAAGAGCATATCTTATAGACAAAAGTCTTATACCAATAGTTTTGTTATGGTTAGACCCAGTTGTTGGATATAACTTCATAACATATGGTTCATTCGATACGGAACGTTGCAGTGAAGGCTTACTTTACATCGTTCAGAAACCGAAGGACTTCAACACAAAAAGATATAAGATAGGAAGGACATATAATATAACTCAAAGATATGACAGTACAGTCAATAGAGTCAAGGTTGTGTTTGTTAATGATATGAGAGCTGCTGAAACAGAACTGCTTGAAGTTTTTGAGAAAATGTATGGTGCTCCCACGAAAGGTAAAGAAACGTTTGAAGTAGATGAGATAGATAAAGCTATAAAATTATTTGACGAAGTTGCTGAAAAATACATGTAAAGCGTTTATTTTTGGTCTTTTGTGAAAGTCAGAAAATAAAGTTAGTTTTATTTTTATTTATTTTTTTATCTTGTATGTAAAGACAGTAATGTCAACATCAGAGAACACAACAACTGCTATCGTTCATGAAGCCATAAATGAAGAATACGAGTACATACAGTATAACAAACAGTTACGTCTCATTCGTTCAGTCAAAGATGACATGTACCAAATGCAAAGTATAATGAATGCTCGTTCTACAAAGCAAGCATATCATTGGTTTGAAAACCAACAGACAAAAGAACTTTTAGAAGAATTTCCTCATATGATTGCTTCCCTCGGAAAACCGAGAGAAGAGATTCCGTATGAAAATCGCAAGAATTTGGCTCCTGGTTTGAAAGGTTATTATGTTCATAGACTTTTAGTAAACGCTGTAGCAATATGGGCTTCACCTCGTTATGCTTGTTATATTTTCATGATGTTAGATGAACTATATAAAGCAGAACGTGGAGAGATGGAAAAGAAACTTCATGCAAAAGATGAAGTCATTGAATCCAAAGACAAAAGCATACAGAAAAGAATACCACGTTCAGTACCAAAAGGAAAGGAAAAGAGTTATAGGTATATGATATATACTGAAGAATTGGAGAAAGAAGAAGATAAAGATATGGTTATGTTGCATTTAGTCAGAAGAAACAACAAGAGCTTTTATGACTTAGCTAAAATATATAAATCTGACAGAAACTGGTTCTATCGTGAAAACTTACCGATTTCAATGACACCGAATGAGCAAATAAAGGAAATTGTCAAAAATACTCTTCCTCAAACACACTATGACATCAAAGGTTGCACAATACTTACATTCAAAGAAGACTTAACATTACTGAAGGAAAAAATAACAGAATATTTCGATAACTTCAAAGAGGAAGAATGAAGTCACGACAACATTAACGAAAAGAGAATGAGGTGAAAAAAGAGGTGAAAAAACGGGTGAGATCTCACCTCTTCACCTAAAATATATTTTTGTGCTATATTTACACTCATTTACGAAGAAGTCATGAATCCTACGTCAATTATGTTCGACACTGATAACATAAACGATAACATTAACGATAACATTAACGATAACATTCATTTTTGCATTAATCCTGGACTGTTGTCAAAATGTCATGTTGTCATCATTTTTAAAAGAAGTTAATTAACCTGGTAGCACATGGTGACGTGGTGACACTTTCAGTTATTCAAAAATATATTTTTGCTTAAATAACTTCAGGGTCTATTTCTTCAACCATTTCACTTCCTTCGTCAATGTCAATAGAAGCTTCTTCAACCTTTGGTAAGAATTTCTGTATAACATCTTTGTTCGTTATTGTCTTCAGAGATGAAGGATAATATTTCACATTTGTTTCACCCTTCTTATATTCTTTCTGTTCGGAAAGATTTAAAGCAATACTGAAGAAGTCAATGTTAGAGTTCTTTATAACAGTATAATGAGTATCTTTGACATTCACGAAGAAACTCTTTTGTTTCAAAACTACTGCTAACTCTTGTGAAGTATAACGTTTGCGGTCAATGACGATAGCTAATGGTCTGACATACTGACCAAACTTAGATTCTTTCACAAACTTCTTGTTAAAGATAACATTAACATTTGAAGCATTATTGAACTCATTCTTGATGGC